AGCGAAACGCAATAAAGCTAGACGAGTAATAGCGCCATTAGAGGCAACAGTGAAAATGCAGCCTCGCAATAATCATAGAAAATCGAGGGGTAAAAGTGCTTGACGCTAGTGACTCGGCGTATCGGCCCTCGCCTAACGTCTGTCTCAGATGCTGCAAGCGTGCGCACCTCGTAAAAATGACAATAACAAGCTGTTGGCGAAGACTCGACCAGTGGTATTTTATTAGCCGCTTCTACATTGGAATCCTCGAGTCTCCTTATCCCTCCGTCCCTACACACGTTTCCCCGGCCATTGTTCAATGCGATACTTTTCGCGATAATCAGCAGAGTCGTACACATCTCCCGTTACACGCTGTTAGTTAGCGACTCGTTCGATCACTACCGTTACGAAAAGCTCCTGAAGGTTCGTCTATAATTCCAAACTTATCCTGTATTTCCTAAAAGGTTTGGTATAAATCGGTCGAATTGATGATTTCGAGGGCATGCAGAGGGCGAACACTTGCCGATATCGTTAATTATTCTCGACGATCAGCGACTCATCGATCGCGCATTTATTATCGGCCCCTTTGTTTCGGAAACCACGGCCTTTCGCTTTTTCAGAGCGCTATAGACGACATTGTCGCCATTGAATTGGAAACACAAGGAAAATCGAACGCCAGCGCTCTTTAATTAAAGCGAGCTGCTAGTTAGTCAGAGCCTGTGTGACGCATTACTCGCGGATAGATCGGACGAATTATTTGGGATCGTTAATTTTTTATTATTGCGAAATAATTATTGGCTGTTGGCTGGCGTGTGTATAAAGAGAATCTGGAAGATAGGGGGGTATTATGAAAAAAATATTCTTCCTTACTAGCGAAGTACTTCGTACTTAACTATATTGTCCCTGCAGCCGAAAGTAAAGGAGGCAATTAATGGTTTTAAATTGAATTTCGTTTAGATGAAAAAAAAAAAAAAAAGAAAAAGAAAAAGAAAATAAATACATAACGATCGATTTTAAATGCTTGTTTTGTACTCTAAAACATATTTTCCTTTCAAAATTCACATACCCCTTAGCGTATTCAAAATTTATTATCCCAATAACAAAACGGATATCCGCCAACAAAAACCATTATGTAGTTATAAAATTATTTTCATGTTATTTTTAATCTTTGTGCATATATTTATAGTTCATCGATTGCATTTTTCATATATTTAACCAAATTAGTTGTCCACGCATGGTAACAAGTTATACACGTAAATCTGGACTAGCGGTATAAAAAAAAAAAAATAAAAAAAAATAAAAAAATAAAAACAAAAACCCTTAAAATTTTCCTTTTTTAATCCAAAGTTTCTTATTTTGCTTATTCATCTATAAATTCGCTTGAAATTACGTAAAAATACTTCAGCCAGTATTTAAAAAGGAGAGTCAAAAGGTCAGTAATGTTTTTATGGCTTCGATGTATTATTATTAATTGCAAATATTGCCACGATAATATAATCTAATTATTATTGGGAAATGATAGCTTGGTGATTTTTATTATAAAATCAGCTAAACAGACTCGTATTAAATTTCTCTCGTATTGCGTTATAAGCATTATTAAAGGCAAGCATTAAGACAATCTTTCAATTTATTAAATAGAACTAATGCCCGGATACTCGCTCGCCTAGTGAAATTGAACGAGCAGGATAATCGTGTTTATTTTGGTCAATTATACATTACATCCGATTACAGCTTCAATAATTTTTATACTTTATAAACTATAAATCTTCATCCACAATGTTTTTCCAATTAAATAAATGTTAATTTCCAATGTTAAATACTTCAATCGAAACATTAAGGAGAAATATAAAATTTCAAAAATAATATTTCTATATGCGTCAGAGTCTTTGTCAGTGGTGCTTTTACTTGTAACTTTCACTTAATAAAAAATGGAATGTTTTTCGCAGGACGAAGCGATAGTCACGATATATGGCCATTTCATTGGCACGCCCCTTTTTTGGTATGTAACTCGATTGGAAATAATATGGTAAGTCATTGGTTTCGATTCCATTGCATGAGAATGTCCATATAATATCGTTCAACGTTACTTTTTATTACAATACTGCCTTGTTATTACAAAAATTTGACTAGCAGTGAGAGAGGGAGGTACGGGGATAATCCGATTAATCATTGTACATAACAAAGAATGATAATAATAATAATATGTGTTCGACAAAACGTATTTTTGATTTTCTAATTTTAACGTACAGCTTATTTATAAACAGCGCGTTAGTCAATTATCGAGATTCACGTGCGACAAATTACTCGTTAAATATTGCATAACGGCAATTACGTGACTATCGCAACTGGGCTTTTGGTCTACGAAAACCGTTGTATTTTCGTTAAAACGGAATGAAATAGAGCATTAGAGGAACGAATGACAGACAAGAATTTAATGCTTTATCACGGGAGTGCCAAGTAGTGCTGACACGATGCAACAAAATAGCCGTGTCAAGCATTTTTTAAAGTGAAAATACTTTTGTCGCTTTCGCAGAGGCTAAAATTCACCGAGTCCAGCGCATTTGCACAATGATATTCCACCACGGACGAAATTACATTTGGAGACGCAGTTAACGAGTAGCGCTACGCGCGAAAGAGCTGAGGTTCGCGCTTACCCTCAAGGTTGCTTCCATTCGCCGTTCTGGGCTATTTTTAATCAGCCGAACGGAAGCGTCTAAGTTTCTTTCTATTTCTTTTTCCCTTTCTTTTTTCATCGCTCTCTCTCTCTCTCTCTCTCTCTCTCTCTCTCTCTCTCTCTCTCTCCCTCTGTCCCTCGCACGCGCTCTTTATTCATCTATCCCTTGCGGTTCGTGGCTACATGTACTTTTCCCAAAGTCGTTCCAACGAAGCCTCGGCTTTCCATTAGCCTTTGTTGGCGTTTCCTGAGTTCCCCTTTTGTTTTTCATTTTTCCCTTTTCTTTTCACTCCTCGGCCGTTCGGTCAGATTAAGAATAATTACGACCTAGTGGCAATTTTCGAATGCCGATTAAATATCATTAGACCAATCGCGACAGCCTTCGGAATTTCAAGGAACGACTCTCGATTTCCTGCACCAGTCTCTTGGGTGCCTTGTCGATGTGAAAAGCAGATCTCGAGCGAGCGAGCAAGCAAGCACTCCCTCTTTTCCCTCTCTATTCCAAACAGCGATGCCCTTGATTTCTCACTTTGGTACATTTGAACGATCTTTCACCAAGCCAATCTGTGGCGTTGAAATAGCCCAACCGATAGCGCCTCTCATTATCCGCCTTGGCCGGTCGTACGTGTCTATCGTGTCGCGAGGGCCTACCGTCCACACCCTAGACAACAGACCCGTCGGTGGATTTACGTCATGCGCTCCTTACACAAATGGGCGTCGCTTTTTCCCTTTGTTTATTCGATTCGGCTTCCACGTACAAGTCTCCACTCTGCCCCGAAATTCCTCCTTTCGATGGCGCATCGGCCGCCGGGACACTGCTTCCTTTGGTACCTATGCGCGCCATGGTTCTCCGATTACTTTCCCCGTTTCCTTTCGTTAAAACATAATTTTGCCTAAGAATGAGAGAAGCGCCGATCGTGTTTTGAGAGCGCGCGTCTACGACGGAAGCTTACGCTCGTGGCACGATTCAACCTGGCGGGACGGGACGCGGAGGGGGAGGTGGGGAGAGACGATCGAGAGCGCAGGTGAAGGATGAAAGAAAGACCCCGAGGTGCCTGAATACCTTTCTCCTCTCTCTCTCTCTCTCTCTCTCTCTCTCTCTCTCTATCTCTCTCTCTCTCTCGCTCTCTCCTCCGTCATTTAACGGACGTTTTAACCGAAATTATAAGTACATGTACGTGCCTGAGCGTGAGGCAAAGGTCCGTGAGCGTGCATATTTCGCACGGGTGAAAGTGAAAGTATTGCCCAAGGTCCATTCGTCTTACTTCTTGCCTTTTACGTGCATTTAAATGAAGTTACGGTAAGACTCACTGTTAAAAACTAGGAGCTTCCTCGTGGAGCCGAGCCGCTTGATCGGTGACTTAACGCCGTCGACCTCCTCCTCGTCCATAT